TTTCAGTTAAGTTTTAATCTTATTTAATAACATAATTTTTAAAAATTTTATGACATCCGTTGACGATTAAAATAAATTTTTAATTTAATTATATAAATTTTTTAGCTAAAATTTAAGAGAGACATGATAATTTGTTACCTATTTATGACATTTAAATCATGAGGAAGGTCTTTAATTTTCAATATTAAATCAATATTAATTCAATATTAATTTTCAATATAAAAATCTCTATAAGATCTCACTATCCCAAATTTCCCAAACTTCCAGCATTTATCGACAATTCTTCCAATATTTCTCGCAGAATTTAAGATATTCTGCATAATGTTACATAAAGCTCTTAAATCACATCACCTACTCGACTCAATGTGCGCACCGCGAGTAGCTTATATCCACCTGCCGACCTTTTACGCAACCTCTCGCTCACCTTTGTAGTTACGCCCGCAATTAAATAAAAATTCGCATATCTCGCGGAAACCACGCCCTCGCGTTACACGTAAAGGAACGAGCGCGAGAACATCGGCTGGAATTGTACGCCGCAATGCGACAACGTGCATACTTCACACTTTCAGACCTAGAAACTCGTATTGTATCGTGCCTCGAACAGACACGACGTAATATAAAAATGTAAAAAGAACGAGATATATAAAGACAAATATAAAACATAAATAAAAAGAATGTTTTGTACAATGAATTAACGATGTATATCTGTCATAATTATGATATGAAAAAGACAGATATAAAAAGCAAACATAAAAGTATTTATACTTAATTCTATTTTTTCTATACAGCTAAACTATTGTACACTTTTAGAACTTAAAGTAAAATAGATATACGTTTGACATTTGGCGAAAGTAAGAAAGTTCTAATGCAGTTCAATGCAGAAATAAAAAATAGACTTCTTGTTAAATTGACAGGTTACTCATTTGGAACTTTTATATTTGTCTCTCGTTCCTATATATGTATTTTTTAGCCCAGTGTTTCACTGTTATATTTTTAACAATTCCGTTTCTCTCCAACAGTGCATCGAGAGATCGGTAACATCTCAGACCCATCAGGAAGAGGGAATGACCGTGGCTCTTCCGCCGTGTTCTGTGACCTCAGGCCCGCCACCGGCCTACGAGAGCCTCATCTTCGACCCTCGGGCGCTGCCCTCGCCGACCGACAAGAAGGACGAGTCTGACGATCCGAGCAATATTATCTCACCCCCGATAAGCAGCTTGCCCACCGAGTCGGAGGCCAACAGGATCAACAAACGGGAGGATATCCCGAGGGACGATCAGGGTTTACCTTCCTACGAAGCCGCCCTAAAATTAGAAGCTGACGGCTACGTTTAAGAAACGAATAAGGGTTCGCCGGAACTACTTCGATCGCGGATCTCCAATCGTGAAAATTTCCAGAGCTCTTAGATAAAACACCAAGTCATGGATATCAAGGAAAAATTCCATAATCGACAAGGTGACTCAGTCGACTGTAGGCGATCGGCTGTCGCCAGCTGAAATTAAGTCTCGCGAAAGCATCTGTGAGAGAATGGCGCAAGGAGACTGAGATTGATTTTTAATCGAGGAAATGGAAGAAGAAAGAAGAGATAGATGACTGAGCAAATTTTCCACGTAGATTTGTGAATCGGAGACAAGTTGCGAAAGAAATTTCAAGCGCAATTTTTAGAAAGGAACTATTTTCATCTGCGCGTGAATCAAGACGCACGAAAGTATAGAATAATTTTAATCGAAGAGATGTTAAGAAGAGAGGAGGAAAAAGTTTTAAATAAGATTTTTTTAGAGTTAATGAAAAAAAAAAGACATTGGGCGTTATATCAAGAATATTCTAAAAATTTTGAAACATTATTCTCCTCTTGCCTTATTGAATGATTCTAATTCTTAACGATAGGATGGTAGAGCGAAAAACCACAAAAGATAAAGTGCCTGAACATACATCCTTTTCCGAAACGTGTGTAAACGGAGGACAAGATGAAAGAAAAGCGACGAAGTAATTTTTCGAAAGTACGTTCTGTTTTTCTTTCTGTCTTGTCTAAAAGTAAAACAACACATAAAATCTTTGAGAGCGACTTTTCATCAACAAGATGTAATAAGAAAATTTTCAGAAGATGTAATACCTCGACTTTTCTATTTTTCGATAATCTCTATGATTAAATGTGTCGATAATATTTTAAATATAGGAGAGAACGCGTCGTAGAAATGTACAGATACACAAGATATCGATTTATAGAATGCGAAATATATATATACAATACATAGAATGCGCCGAAATGTAGCATATGTTAATGTCAGTATACATAAAAACGGTACGTTTGTAAGTCGCGGCCTCAGGCAATGAACAGAAAGACCTAATTTCGCAGATAATTACATTTTATAAATGTTAAGAAGGAGAATACTTAACGGCATATTTTTCCCGGTCGGTCATTAGTTTAAGAGAGCAAGAGCGGACATAGAAACGCAGCACCGTTAGATTACAGTTTCCGTTTGAATAAACAATGCGCATCGCTATAACGTAAATGATACTTCGTGTAATGCGCGCACGACATCGCGGAATTTATGCGGTGTTTCGCTAGGAAAACGCTTCGAAACATACCATTTTACGTAGAACTTTCCTGTGTATGATAGATGAATATGTAAACAAATAGCTGTGCATTCAATATGCATTTTTAGGCGTGCACCGGCAACAGCCGCAATGATGATTTATTATTACGACCGTATGAATATTAAGTAGTAAGTATTATCGATGAAACTGTGCCTGACACGAACGAGTTACATTCGAACGTAAGATTTTGCGCTTTATATAAACACGCGCATAACAATTTTTTTAATTTCCGCTAATTACAATCGCATAATAATTAATATTATTGTATCATAAAGAAGCACAGATATTTTTAAATACAATTGTATAAAATTACATATAATGGTCTCTACGTTTGATTATATTGATACGTTTGCTATCGCATGCATTTATGATCGAATTGCCATACTTTGTTGGATTTATTTACGCGAACACTTAATTACAACAGTAATAATAATTAGTCGCAACAAGAAATCCTCGAGAAAAAACAATAACCTTGATATCAAAATGAAAAATGTTTGCTCGAAAGAGCACCGTATCAAGCGAACGTTTTATCGAGCCGGTTAAAATCTACGATAAAATGTAATGCTTGCTAAAAGTGCTTTTGCCAAAAGAGCTTTTGCTGTGGATATTTTTAAGAAGCATAAAAAGCAACATTTAATTATTTTATATTGTAAAAGTCTTAATTGAGTAGACAAATGATCCATTAATGTTCGCTATTATTTCTAAAATTTTCTCTTAGTATCAGCATTATTATATACCTATTTATGTACAGCTAAAGATACAGTCTAGAGAGTACCGACTAAATGATGTTAGTTGTAAATTTTCAACGTAATCCTAAAATAATTATATTTAATGAGACGTGTACGATAATATTGTACGAGAAATAAGATCTCTCGGTAAAAATTCATTATCCAGAATTTCAATTATCAGAATTAATTCAAGAGCTACCTTGAAATTCTTGTTAAAAAGATACTCAAAGTACTCGAAATAATAAAATAATAATGGTCATAAAAATAATCTGTTATTAATATTTATTAGCAGGAAGTGTGAATTATCCTGTAGTTTAGTTCTATGCCATCTCGATCGTGGAGGTTGACTGATATATACGATGAAATCATGACAAAATATACCGTGTGCAGTATCCGTTGATAAAATACCGCGATAGATAGTTGCAGTGAAGCGTCATAAACTCTAATTCAATGACTACGATGCATCGATGACGATAAATCTAAAAGCGTGATTACATGCACGCTATTGCATGATCGGTGTGATTCATTAAGCGTGCGTGTATAGAAAAATATACTGGAAGAACTAGCAAACGCGAGATGCTAGTTCGCAAAATAAAAGAAAAATAGTATCTCGCATATCTAAAGCCCGACGTTATTTCTCAATAATTTAATAATTTACAAGTAGCTCAAAAAAATGTAAACTTTTTTTTTCTTCAATTACTAAATAATTCACAAAAATTTATAAGCAAGAATAAAATAAAAATGTTAAAATAGCAATAATTTATCAGTTTAGTTTAAAGCAAAACATATATCTTTACTGTAATCAACTTTAAGTACTCTCTAACAGTTAATGACTAAAAAATATTAATCGTAAAGATAATTACTGGAAAAGAACACGGTACAACCGAGTACAATATAAGAGAAGGATATAATAGCAAATTGCTGATCTGGTATCTTTGAAAATCAAGGACGACGATGACGACGACATAAAATCATGTTCCATAACGCGAATGAGAGAAGTGCAAATTACACGATCTACGCGTGCGATCGTTTCGCAAATTTTCTGCAAAATAATTAAGCTTCTCGTTAACAATATCCGACTCGAAATCGATATTACGTTGCAGTTTAGGATCGCACATAATTATCACCCTCGTCATGCGGCCTTCGCGAGGAATTGAGCCAAACAGAAAATAATTTCCGCTCTGCGGCCTGATTGCGGACCCCGCGGCGGAATCCGAGATTCCCGTAACGAGTTCGTATGGAAATTTCAAATTGCTAACGATAGGTACCTACGTACGACACGTACGTATCGCGTATGGTATGCGTATCATCCGGATGTGCCGTAATTAGATTAGATTTACACAGAATAACTCGCGTGTTTACATTTCCCACCGGTGTAACGCAGAACTGTGCCACTCGCCCCGTTATCAATTTAGTCATACGACAGCGTACACAGCGTTTCCACAGATAAACCAGTACATATCGCGTATAATCCTCTTTTATATTGCATAACGCAGTTATGCCGAAAGAAAGCTAGATGCGTTGTGTGTGTGTGTGTGTGTGTGTGTGTGTGTGTGTGTGTGTGCGCGCGCGTGTGTGTGTGTGTGTGTGTAATGAGATAACATTATTTCGCTAAAAATATATTTTAAAAACTGAAAAAAGGGAGGCACTGAGTTTGCATAAAGGCGTTCACAAATAATTGGATAACTAGATTAGAAATTAGGCGACAATATAAACTAGATTAAAAGTTCCTCTAAGATGCATATTAATGCAAACTCATAAAGCTCGCCGTGAAGTTTCGAACAATCTTGGAAACTTTGAAATTCCCTAAAAATTTTTGCAAATTTAATTATTGGGAACAAAATTTGGAATCTTTTTAGTGTTAGTGAGTTTAGCTAATGAAAACTATATCGAGGCGAAGATGAGTATGAGAGAGAAACAGTTCTGGCCAGATATAATTTTCTTGGATAGAACAATTACAGAGTTCTGCTCCCTGGAGCCTCATAAAATACTATCGGGAAATCTTCCGGTGTGGCTCCTCATTAAGTTTCAATCGGCCATTAAATGTATCGGTACTGCATGATCTACGTGTATGTACATATGCATTATTCAGTGACCGCCCTAGTAGGAGTAACATAACTCGTTTCATCCCGTACATAATTAACGAACGTACTGACCCGCGGAACTTTCAGGTCTGCAAAAAAATTTAAAGAATTACGGCCAACGTAAAATGATAATCGATGGATGGAATGAACGCTGGTCGAGTCCTAACAACGCGAGTCATTCTTAATTAAAGCGACTGGCGAATTTATTTCGATGAGCCTGGATCAAAAATGATTCTAGCCGTAACGTTTGCTGATAAACTGCCTTTTAATCGCGAAATACCCGAAAATTACGATCAAAATTAAAATATAACGAACTTTTAATTTAATAAAAATAATTATGTGTATCTTACGTGCTATATTTACGTGAGACATGACAATATTTGACAGAAATATACAAACATCATTGTTAACTCATTGATTTTTACACTTGCTAGTAAATCTTATTAAATTTGACAGCTATCAGAAGAATTGACTGATACAACAAAAAATCCCAAATAACATAAATATCAATAAACAAATAGACCTCCTGCTCTTTTTAACTGAACTTTTTTGCATCGTTTATCTTTTTTTCTCCAACATTGAGAGAAGAAAAAGAAACAATCATGCAAGAAGTTCAGCTGAAAGAATAGACCTATTCTCCAAAATTTTTTGGAGTAAAATCTTACTTAAGAGAGTAGAAATACAGCTATTTTTTGAGAAGAATGAAAATATTTGACTTTCTGAAAAAGAATAACAATTTTCACTTTTCTCTAAAAATAGCTATATTTCCACTCTCTTAAAGTGAGATTTCACTATAAGAAATTTGGAAAGTAATATTAAACAATATCAGTTTATACTCTTAAACATATATCGTTAAGAATTGAAGTTGAAATAAAACCTTACGTAAATTACAAGAATATCAATACCATCCAAAATAAAAGAGGAAGTATCTCAAAAGAGTTATTCATTGAAAGGAGATACATCTATATGCGGTACAGATATATTAGATTAGAGACATATCACATGACAAAGAACATTATAATTTGCGAATATATTTGGTACATTTACACGAATTCCCGGCGTGTCACCACAACATACGCCTCGAATTCTGTCTGTAAGCTTATTTATACTAATATTCAGTAATGTTTTCTGATATTCGGAATAAGGCAATAGCATTATAAGCAGCATACGTCATCTGTAATAGATAGAACTCAATATCTGTAGACTACGTATCTGTAGACTGCTTTCATTGTCATTTATTCAAGAAATATAACAAATGCTAGTATATTTGTAATGCTGAATACCCCCTATTATATGCACGAGATCATACAGGAAGTCTTGTACTTCCTAAAGAAAAATATTGTGAATTTCCACGAGTCAAATCGCTTATTCATCGTTACCTCGTATATTTTATATCTCGTGCTAATATACCGGGAAAAATACTCCTTATTAATGTATACTCGAAATTTTCATTTACAAACTAATACAAAAGGTATTACGCGATATATATTTAAGAATATAAGTAATTCAAATAATATGCTAACATCTGATTGTGAGTTTATAATAACCGTTGTTATTTACAAGACAACTTTTACGTGAAATTGCAAGTGTTGCGCAACATGACTCCCTCATAAATACGAACGTCGTTATATCGTAGTATTACTAAATAAAGCTAATGTCATTCGGCTTGCCTTTTAAAAAACGTTATCTATGCCAGGAGCAGTATTCTTTTCAATGACCATCTGCACCATTATGATAAATGATACACGTAATATGTCATTGCAAATATTTATATATTATCGTTTGTCGGTGCTATTAATTCGTACAATGTGACAAGATAACGTAAGGCGATCCTACAATGTGCAATATGATATAATTAATATAACGAATAAAAGCGGTTGTTCGTAGATAGTTGTCACGTATGCGGAGATACGAAGGGATTCGTAAATTTTGCACAATATAGCAGATGGTCAAAATCGTAGATGACAGCGAAATGAATTGACGTAAACTAAACATCTGACAGATGATATATTTCATATAATAAATTTGATTATTAGCGATTTATATTGTGATATTAACTTCGTTAGACTGATTGATTCAAGTGGTTTATGCATATAGCGCACAATCTTTATTCATTCGCTTGCAATTAATCATATCTTTTGAAAGATTATTCGGCTGATGTATAATTACAAATTAATATGAATTATTCCAAAGCATAATTAAAATGGATAAAGTAAGTAATTGAAATAATATGAATTC